CTGGGACCGGTAATGACCCCAAATACTACAGGTTACTAATCTAGTCACATGGTGCTATGACATGTTCTGACACCATCCTGCCCAGGAGTGGTGTGCTAGGCATGATTGACCCATAGCCTAAATACATCAACCATAACCCTACATGTGATAATGTGCTACTGGAACATTCTAGCAAGGCCTAGAATGTGTCTAGGTGTAGTCTAGCTCTTCTAACAGTCTGGAACACTACCGTGTGATCCTTATCCCTAATCTGGAACCCTAACCCTGTATTCTATGATAAGATAAGATGTAGATATAATGTAACATTGATGTGACAATGAAGTGACAGTAACTATCAGTCATGGATGCCTAAATGGGAAAATCTGTGACAGAGTGACAGAGTGTTTGTGTGTTGGTTTTGTTGGTATAGTACTGGTGACGTATCATCGGGGGGGAGGTGGATATGACATGGATTCATGGTACAGTATCACGCTCGTTACAAAGGAGATAGACAAAGGATCCCGGTTGCTGTCATCAAATCAAATCAACGAGCTTCATGAACAAGTCGCTTGATATGAGAACCTCACAGCAAACTTTGTAAGAAGACGAAACAAAAAGATCTCCTAGAAGGATAAGATAGGGCTCATGCACAATTGACTAGTATCATGTGATCTTGGTGCCTGTTCCCCCGTGCGAGAACAGGTAGTATTTCAGTTCAAAAAAGGATTTAACTTATATTTTGGTGGTAGTTACTCTTAGTATACCCAATGAGAGCTATCTCTAAGTCATTTGAGTGTTGCATTGCTCTCCCCGTCGTGTTTCGGTATTTTTTGTAGGTCACATGATACTAGTCAATTGTGCATGAGCCCTATCTTATGAGTAGGGGACATGGATTGTAGAGAATAGTATAACATGTGCAAAGGGCAGCCAGGCTCTCAGAGCAAACTAGCGAGTATCCAGAAGTCAGTGGAATCAATGAATTTGATGACCAAATCGACAACTTCTGGCAGGAGTTGTTTGACTGCCATTGCAAGTTTCATACTAAGAGAGCTCCTCTGGTTTTCAGATCAGTACGGTAGGCTTATACAAAGCAAACTCAATCTGCAAATAATTGAAGTGTATCATGAGGAAAATCCATGGGTATCAGAATCCTCCTGGAGTCCTAATGAGTGTGTTAGACGCAATGGCAACCGACTTGTCCTAATTAGACCACAATAGCCACTTTGACTTGAACTGGGCTATTCTGCTCTGTGAGAGAGGAAGGAGCTTGTCAGAGAACTTGGGTTTTGGGTGAATTGCCATTGTAAATAAGAGGAGCGAGGACAGATCTGAACAGATGCTACCGGCTGTCACTTTAGTCACACATGTCACAGGCCCCGACATCACGGCATATTCCGGAAGATCCGGCAGGTCCCGGTTCTGTTGAGGTTGTGATTTATTTGGCGCCCATGTTTTCTCCCCGTTCCTCTTGAGTCCCGTGTGCTATAAAATCTGTTCTCTTGTGGTTTAGGAGACGGCCACGCAAACTTCTATAGTCCAAATCCTTGGCTTTTGAAATAATTCCGGAGGCTTAAACGATCACATTGTCACCAAGGCTGGCGCCCTCCGATGAGCAAACTAACTAAACGTTGACGATATCTGGACTTGACCTTGGTCAACTGTCCACCTACAGCCTCCAACTAGCTTGTAGCAATAAAAAGCTTACTTTGACACGTAATACGGAGGCAATTTTTATGGTTAGTCCTACTTTCAATCCCTTTGCACCAGCGTACAATCGCATTCACATCTTTTGCACAGATCAGGGCATGAGATGTTCTAGTTTCATTTCTCAGTCATTTTAAACGGCCATGGGAGTATATCAGTACGGATGACACTAGTGTCGTTGCATCCTATCACAAGACGTCCTGCGCTCGTTCTGGAGTGCTCTGTGTTGGGCGGGACAGTGGAGCAATGCGGGCTATCGCTGACTCGCTCGTCCGTGGAGTCCCAAAGTCTGAATTATGGAACCTCAATGGATCGGCCTATCGAGGAGATTCCCACCCTCTAATCAGAGTTTGGACCTGGCAGCAATCTGAACTCCACATATCTCTCAAAGTGGCACTTATATCGTATTGTCGGAGTCATGCGCTCATTGGACATTAAAATATTCAGAATAATGTATTCCAGCTGCACTATAAAAGCCGAGTAGATTTCAGCCATTGTCCCCACATCGTCCGACTTACTTCTTCCCTCTACACCTCAAAAGCAGCTTCAATGACAGGATCTTCCCTAGGTAAAAACCCCCCGAACGCAGGTCGCCACCTCACTGCAGGTGGTAGCGACTGGCTATGGGCCGTGTTCGCGATAATGGCGCTCTCCGACCTCGGGATGATAATGTGGTCATTTACGGTCAGTTTGTGCAATGGGCGATTGATGTCTTTAACTCACTTGTCGCCCCAGAGACCACGAGGGACGAGACTGTTCCATAACATCGCCACCGTCATTCTTACCACTGCGACCGTGGCCTATTTCTCAATGGCTTCTGACCTCGGTGCGAGTACGTTGTCAGTATCGCTCTTTGTAATGACTTCCGTTAACTGTGTGAATCTTTGCAGCTCCTGTGACTGCCGAATTTTCGCGCATTACCACAAATACTCGCCAAATATTCGTAAGTGCCGTAGTCCACTGATAACTGCCGTATATGAACGTCGTCTTGTCACACAGTTTGTCCGTTATATCCAATGGTTCATCACGTTTCCTCTTCTCTTGATACTCTTGCTCTACACCTCTGGCCTCGCTCTCTCGGACATTTTGACGACCGCCTTCTTCGCATGGGTAGTCGTCGTTTGTGGTCTAGTCGGTGCTCTCACCGTCAGCACCTACAAATGGGGTTTCTTCATCTTGGGCGTCGCTGCCCTACTCTACATCTGGTAAGTCCAGCGATCAATGCATTCTCTTATACACAACCCAACCGCCTTTGGCTTCTTAGGTCGAGCCTCCTCGGTCACGGTCCACGATCAACTTTCAATGGGGGTGCCGGCGTTCGCTCAGGCTACGTCCGAGGTGCAAGCTTCGTTGCATTCCTTACCATGCTCTACCCTATCTGTTGGGGCCTCTCAGAAGGCGGCAACGTCATCTCTATTACGGGCGAAATGATTTGGTACGGCATCCTAGACCTCCTCCTGGGTCCTGTCTTCCTCTACTACTTCGTGTGGGGCCTTCGTAGTGTCGACTACGGTCTCTTTGGCTTTAACTCTGGAAAGCATACCGATGGCGGATATGCTACTGGTGCAGGTGCAGGTGCGGGATATGGCCACTCAAAGGCTGGAATGGGAGGTGCCGGAATGGGAAATGCCGGAATGGGGGGTGCAGGTAATGGTGCAACGATTGGTCAGAATGGAGCAGGGGCTGTCTAGAGCATCATACAAAAATACGCGGATGTGTGACGGTGAAACATTAATGGTTATGCGTGTATTCCTTACAATACGAAGTGATCAATAGCTTCATCTAGACATGGCCGCCTGGCGAAATGGCATCGCGTCTGACTACGATGCTTGTTAATCAGGAGATTGCAGGTTCGACCCCTGCGGTGGTCATTTTTTTTTCTTCTTGAAGTTTCAGATTCTAAGAACTTAGAACTTGGAAGTTGGCAGGCTGGTATCAGGTACCTGGTATGGTGGTATCACTCCCTTAACTTAACCCCATGAATCTGCGAGACTATGACACCATGTCCATTGTCAGCGATAGCCAACTTGGAGCAACGTTCAACTCCCGGCCAACGGATAATCGATAATGAGATTGTTTAAGATTTTCGTCTTTTTCACTGCGAGCTTCAGTATTAAAGACATGGACTTTGACTCTCCACCTGGATAGATATGGATTATGATTGCTTATACTATGTAAGTATTTTCCGCTACTCCGGTGTTTACTATATTGATGCACAACGTACGAATCATACAGCGACTGAAGCATACACGAACTAAACCAATGCAACGATCTCCTGCGTATAGATATCTTTGCATATACGCAGCCTGAAAGATTAACTGAATGTGGCGACGATAGACTTGATCAGCGGCCCAACTTCCGTCGACCGCGGTTTGATGATGCATTTGAAAGGGGCGGGGCGACTATTGCAGTCAAGGACGTTCGTCAGCTCTGAGCCCACAAAACGAAAGTTGGGCCGTCAGTGAGAAACTCACACCATGATCCCTTCGTCAACGTAGTCTGTCCTAGAAGGGACGATCTGCTGACCATCATTGTCGAGAGCTTTACCAAAGTCGAACGCCCACAACAGAGTAGCGAAGTTGATGAAGAAAGACTGATTAGCGAAATCCCGTCCGGGGCAGATGCTACCATTGCAGAAACGATGAGTAAGTACTTCTATCCTTTGATTTGGAGGGAAGCACACCGTCTGCCAGTTCCGAAGGAGAAATGCCCATGCCCATGGGTATCTGGTATGGCTTTCGCCAGCTGACCGGACTCGTCGAGGTAGCGCTCCGGTCTGAATTCTTCGCCATCGGGGAAATACTTGGGATCTCGGTTCATTGCCCTTAATTGTACGTGAGAAGTATAGGTCACTGTTAACAAAGTTGAACATTACCAGACGTTGAAAATCACAGTAGTGCCTAACAAAGTTAGTCATCAGTCAACAATTGATATAAGCGAAGTACCTGCGGGGATGAAGTAGCCTCTATACCAATCATCCTATCGTATATGTTGAGGAATAAGACATGTAATGTGGAAATTACGCGTACTTCTGTGCTTCGCCTAGGGACACCTGTGGGATGCAATAAGACTCTGTGCAGCCGTAAGGAATTGAAATGTATGTGGATACGCACCTAAGGGGTCTATAGGCCTCCAGCGGAGGACCTCCTTCACAATGGCCTCAATATACGGTAGCTTGTGGCGATCTGAGAACGAAGGTGTGCGGTCTCGGCCAACGATTGCATCGATCTCAGTTTGAGCTCGACACATGACATCGGGATACAGAGTCATAGCCAATACAAAGGCAACCAATATTCCCGCAGACTGAGTAGCATGTAGATATTTCTGCATATTCGTTTGACTGTTGTTGCTTACTGTTTCAACACCTGCTGCTCTAGATGAGTGTAGGCTCAACGTTCTACAATTGGGCGCAAAGATTCCAATATGGTTCACCTACATTATTGTCCCTGTCAGCCACGCAGATTCCTTTCGATTGAAATCGTACTTCTTCTCGTCGCCAATCAAACTGGCTACGAAGCTTGACTCCGACCCTAAATTCCCAGAAACCTAAGTGAAGCATATCAGGATCGTATCCCAAGAACAGGCTTATCCCAAGGATGGGTGACCCCACTGACATACCGGTTTCTTCTCAAAATCATCCAAGAACGACTCCAACATTTTCGTATCTGACTCGTGTAATTCACGGCATCTTCTTTTCCATTTTGCTAGCCACTCTGGAAGGTAGAGCATCCAAGGAAAGAACTGTACCATGCCTGCAGCCGGACGACTAGTTATTGGGCCGCCAATTCGCTGAGGAATGTCATTGATTCGTTGGATAAGATCGTCAGCCGTAGAGTCGAGAACTGTCCAGCCATAGCAAGCAGAGAGAACCGAACACGCGGAACATTTGCCGAATATTGAATTGTTTGTTTCGGGAGTAAAACTTATAAATGCGAACCGCATGAGCTCTGCATCCCATCCTTCTAAATCTTGGAAAATCCGGGATACTAGCAAAATAGCGTGCTTCTCTTGCAAAGGCTGGTAGACCAAAGAAGATTTGCCGGCGAAGCCTTCATGAGCGGCGCGACGGAATCTGCGCCACCTGAATGTGGAAGGTGGTGTCATCAGTCTCAAATATCCAGGATGTTTTTCGTACCCACCTATTACCATAAGGAAGTAATCCAAAGAACATGTTTCCTGTCAGGAGTTCTCCGCTCACGATAAACCGCGGTCGACTACTATATATGGTAGAACGCCGATCTGGATGGAAGGGATCAGCGATATGTTGACCTGAAAGAGTACTTGTGCATCTACCTAGTAGATCAGCGGACGTAGTAAAGTCGTTCAATACAACGACTCGTTGACCCAGCAGATTGAGGGAGAAAATCGGTCCTGACTAAAGATAAGCATTTGTGGGGAAAGCTAGCAAGCCAATAGCACGTACCGTACTGCTCAGACCATTCCGAGAAGCGCAGCCAGTGAGTCTTTGTGAGTTGTAAGATATTTCCAAGATATGGGAGACCGTCAGGTCCAGGCGGCATTTTTGCTCTCAGGCTACGAGCAGTAACTACCGAGTAGATTACTGGTGCGGCAAGGGCCCCAAGCATAAATATTGTGAGCAAGCTGCATCCGTTCGGGTCGCAGGAAAAGGCCATTGAGGCCCACACAGTAAGAAACACCAGCTCGAGGCGAGTCAGACCACAGCGTTCCGGGATCCTGCCGCTATCGCGGACACTAGCCAATTGCCGCTGACAGACTTGTACTCTTATGCACAGCTTGTTAGATCAGCCCGCAACTAGTCTTTTGTCGCCCATAGGGGCTACCCTCAAGGGCAATAAACCAGGAGTCAAAATAATAATAACGCCGCATAATTCCGGATGTGCACCGCTGGCAGCCAGATTGGTACCACGCGCCGACAATAGGTACGCTGGTAGGTTGGTGGAGCATAATCTTTATCCGCACCAACTTGCATGGTATTCAAGTGAGTAATCAATACGAGACTACCAGTAGTACGCATCGACTGCGTTGAGAAATACGTTGAAAATAGAACAGGAACGTGGACTAGACCGTCCTAGACTCGGACGTTTTATCAGGCAACTTATAGAGATAAGGGAAAAGGTACGCACATGAAGTGTACCTGCGGTTTCTATCTATTCGCTCTGTTCCTTTAAGTCATCCCGGGGGACCTGTTCATTGCCGTGCAAGGTTCGGAGTGCCATGTTTCATACGATTCTCTTCATGAGGGGGGCTCGCGAGAGAATTGACGAGACAAGATAAACTGCGAAACAGTGAATATGTAGCACCCGAATAAATCGAGGAGGTCAGGAGGAGGAGATAATAAATCAGGTTGAAGGAGGAGTCTCAATTGAGCGCTAGATCACATCGGGCTGTGCCAAGCCGGCATTCGCCGAAATCTGCGATTGCCAAGATCTATGACTTAATCACTTTTATAAGCTCTTATATACCCTGTTATACGGCTGGCTTGTTACTATTTCACTAAAGTGCCGGCAGAAATCTTGATTTACCCGTAGTGACCTGTAGTGACGCGGCGTGATACCAGGTATCGTATTAAACTAGTGGAACCTCCAAAGCAAGCCCGGCCAACGGGAAGCTGGTATTTATGGACGGAGTACTAGACAAGGTAATGCGTCAAGCTGCTTACCTTGTACAAGGTAACCACCAGTACAATCCGAAGCATTCATGAGCCACCGACCCTCCACAGTGTATGAGGTTTTCGTTGAGTCAGCGTCGATCATGGTCTGTTCGACAATCCGAAAGTATACCAATAGAGGTATGGCCATGAGAAGGTCAGTCGGTCAGGTGCTAAAATCTGAGCAGCTGGGCTTGGACATGGCGCAGAACATGCCACGATGTCCGTGTCCAAACACCACTTATATATAATCAGTCTCCAAGAAATCATGTTGATATAGTACAGTTTACGTTCCATACATTACTTTGTAGTAGTTGAGAGACAAACTGCGAAACGATCTTCTTTGTATGCATATCTGGGAGAATAAATTAACTGAATGTAGCGACGATGGAATTGATCAACGGTCCAACTTCCGTCGATCGTGGTTTGATGGCGCATTTGAAAGGGGCGGGGCGACTGTTGCGGTCAAGGAAGTTTGTCAGGTCGGAACACAGTAACCAGAGTCGCTATTTAAAAACTCACACCATGATCCCTTCATCTATACAGTCTGTCCTAGAAGGGATGATCGGCTGACCATCGTTATCGAGGGCTTTCTCGAAGTCAAACGCCCACAGCAAAGTAGCGATGTTGATAAAGAAAGCTTGATTAGCGAAGTCCCGTCCGGGGCAGATACTGTGAGTGGAGAGAGATTGAGCAATCACACCTGCACCTTTCAGTAACGAAGGATGCGTACCGTCTGCCAGATCCAAAGGCAAAGTGCCCATGACCATGGGTATCCGGTATGGCTTCCGCAAGTTGACCGGAATCATCAAGGTAGCGCTCTGGTCTGAATTCTTCGGCGTCAGGGAAATACTTAGGATTTCGGTTCATAGCCCTAAGTTGAACATGAAACTCCGTCAAATTAACGTTGATAGCATTTTGAGACTTACCAGACGTTGAAAATCACAACAGTGCCTGAAACGTTAGCCGTTTGATCAATAGATTAACCAATAGAGTAACAGCAGCGAGCTACCTGCAGGAATAAAGTAGCCTTTATACCAATCATCCTGTCGTACATACTTTGAGAAATAAAACATATAATATAGTACTCAGACGTACTTCTGTGCTTCGCCTAGGGACACCTATGGATAGTAGTCAGACGCCGTGATGCAGAGTTAAAACGTATGTGAATATGCACCTAAGGGATCTACAGGTCTCCAACGGATGACCTCCTTGACTATAGCCTCGATATATGGTAGCTTG